GAGATGGAAACAACCTAAGTGTCCATCATCGGATGAATGGATAAAGAAGATGTGGCACATATATACAATGGAATATTACTCAGCCATAAAAAGAAACGAAATTGAGTTATTTGTAGTGAGGTGGATGGACCTGGAGTCTGTCATACAGAGTGAAGTAAGTCAGAAAGAGAAAAACAAATACTGTATGCTAACACATATATATGGAATCTAAGAAAAAAAAAGGTCATGAAGAGCCTAGGGGTAAAACGGGAATAAAGACACAGACCTACTAGAGAATGGACTTGAAGATATGGGGAGGGGATGGGTAAGCTATGACAAAGTGAGAGAGTGGCATGGACATATATACACTACCAAATGTAAAACAGACAGCTAGTGGGAAGCAGCCACATAGCACAGGGAGATCAGCTCAGTGGTTTGTGACGACATAGAGGGGTGGGATAGGGAGGGTGGGAGGGAGGGAGACGCAAGAGGGAAGAGATATGGGAACATATGTATATGTATAACTGATTCACTTTGTTATAAAGCAGTAACTAACACACCATTGTAAAGCAATTATACTCCAATAAAGATGTTAAAAAATAAATAAATAAAGGCAATACAGTAATGCACAGTTAAGTTAGTTTAAATTTCATGTGCATGTCACAGTCAACTGAATTGTGCTTGGCAGTGGATATTTTCCAAGGAACAGAAATGATTAAACTTACAAAATAAAACTCCAGCTTGAGAAATACAAGCCAGTACAAAGAAATTGCAAAAGCACATTTTATAACTCAAGATTTTAGAAGAATATGCTAACCTGAAATTTTTTCCGAAGTGGGGGAAAAAAGAGTTATCTAACAAAACCCCTATTTTCCTACTGTGATCTATTGTAAATATACAGTCTCTTCAAGCCAAAAGAATTAGAGTAAAAAGTTTTATACTTCTTGGAAAACTTGTTTGATCTGTGGATTTAATCCTATATGATAAAAATGTTCCAAGTATGAAATATAGAGTATAGATCCTTAGCTGTATTGCAAATGCTTTGGCATGCAGATTTTTTCCCGTATTTTAATGAAAACCAGATTTATTTATAAGTTGCTTTAATTTCATTCTCGAATGGAACAAGAGTATCATATGTTCTGAATTAGGATCTTACTCACATCCCATATCAATTATGTAACTCAAATGCAAGACAACTTAATTGTGTCAATCATATTCCGCTGACAAGATCATTAAATGTTAACAGAGAGCTTCCAACTTTTAACAGCCATAGATTTTTTTGAATATAAGTTATTCTATGAAAATATAGATGCCTCATAAAAATTTGGTATAAGTATTATAGCTTCTGACTTCTAATAATAATTTTTGAAATTAGGATATTATGAAAATAAAGTTTCTTTTTGATAACATCTTTATAAAGGTTTAGTTTTCACAAAGGCACATCAAATCTCACGGATAACACAGAAAATAAGCACAACAGAAAATTCTTAACTGCAATGCATTGTAATTCAAACCCTAAAAGTATATCAATATCAGATTAATCTCACAGAAGAAATATTGCTCTGTAACTCTACCTAGAAATAAACTGCCCAGATAGTTAAATCAATTACCATAACATTTGTGTCTTAATTATTTTACAGTATTAAGGTTTAAAGACTAATGATTTAACTGCATTCTAACCAATTAATATAATTAGTCACTTACTAATGCTTTTCAAAACTTTGAAATCCAAAATAAGTGAATATACATTACATTTAAAACAAGATGAGGCTGTTAAAAAGATGTGCAATTTTAAAACATCATAACAGAGATGATGCAAACTGGCCACAGTATTTTGAAGTATACAGTTTTAAAAATTCATTTCTGACATGTAAAAATAACATTTTTATCAATTTTCTACTAACATGAATAAGATGGAGTTAATTTTTATTTGTTTCTTTAAACAAATCAGAGAAAAAAACCCAATAAAGTAAATGACAACTGATTTAAAATGAAGCTATGGTAAAAGCATCACTTTCAGAAAAAGAAGACCTAAGTTTTAACAGTTCTGTCACATACTACCTTAATTATTTCTAAAATTTTATATGTATTTTTGTCCTTGTGATATATGACAATAAAAAAGAAAATAAAGAGAAGTCACCAAATTCAGGACCAAGAAAAAGGAGAACACATGTGACAACTAGTAGGATTAACATAGTTTATGCAATACATTCAAATATGACTCTGACCTTCCTGGCAGTCAGAGCAAATAGGGAAAAACTACCTTTATATAGTTATTATTACTGGAATTCCTTCTTTTTTTTTTTTTGAGGTATAACTGACATACGACATTACAGAGTTGCTCAATTCTCCACATTTACACTATGCTATCAGCTTACAAAAGCATGTATATTTATAATATCTTATTTGGTCATCTCAACAACTTTGTTAAGAAGGCAGTACTGGCACCACCATTATGCCAGATGAAGAAACCTCAGGCCCAAAATTAAATTATATGGCCAAAAGAAGTTAAATTAATTTCCTGAGGTTACTGAATATGAAATGGAGAGAATTTACTCTTAGTCTAACATTCTTTATTTCACCTCTTATTGCCTTGAGTTCTTAGACCTAAATTATAAAAGAAATTTACTGCGTAGAATTAAAAAAAAATTTTTTTATACAGCAGGTTCTTGTTATCTATTTTATACATATTAGTGTATATATGTCAATCCCAATCTCCCAATTTATCCCACCACGACCCTGCTCCCGGCCGCTTTCCCCCTTTGGTGTCCATACGTTTGTTCTTTGCATAGAACTTTCTGAGTAATAGAAGCTGCCCTCAATATTTTTACAGCAAATACAAGGCAAATTTCACATAAGTATGTCATTTAGCAACTGTTGATCAAAATAAGAGCAAAAAACTTAAAAGTAACTAGATAAAACTATAGATAAAATAAAAAACAAGGTAGCTGTATCTGATGTGATAATGAATGTGGAAACCTATACAAAGGCACAATACATTCCAATGATGAAAAATCATTAAGGGCTTCTACTTACCTTTTTTCAATCACATATTCTTGATGGTTCCTATTCAGATTTAAACTATACCATATTTTCCTTATAAATATGTATTTGCAGTTGTCTAAGTAGAATTCTTTCATGGAGCCAACTTGTAAAATCTAAAACTCAATTTTGAAAACTTGCCCTGCAGTCCAGAACAAGTTCAAATATTGGAGCAAAACAACCAAACATTTAAATCTAAAAGTCTGACGGGTTTTAGAGTTGTGGTTTAGAAACTATATATAATAATTTGATGACAATTAAAAAGATTCATTTAGTCTTTTCAAGTTTATTTTTCTAAAAGTTTCATGTTATACGTAGTAAAAGGAAAAGTATAATTAATTTGGGTTTTTTCTGCTATAAAAAAGAGATGAGTCAATAGTCTTTAGAACCCAGTATTGTTTTTTTAACATCTTTATTGGAGTATAATTGCTTTACAATGTTGTGTCAGTTTCTGCTGTATAACAAAGTGAATCAGGTATACGTATACCTATATCCCCATATCCCCTCCCTCTTGCGTCTCCCTCCCACCCTCCCTATCCCACCCCTCTAGGTGGTGACAAAGTACTGAGCTGATCTCCCTGTGCTATGCGGCTGCTTCCCACTAGCTATCTATTTTATGTTTCGTAGTGTATATATGTCCATGCCACTCTCTCACTTCATCCCAGCTTACCCTTCCCCCGCGTCCTCAAGTCCATTCTCTACGTCTGTGTGTCTTTATTCCTGTCCTGCCCCTAGGTTCATTAGAACCATTTTTTTTTAGACTCCATATATATGTGTTAGCATATGGCATTTGTTTTTCTCTTTCTGACTTACTTCACTCTGTATGACAGACTCCAGGTCCATCCACCTCACTACAAATAACTCAATTTCGTTTCTTTTTATGGCTGAGTAATATTCCATTGTATATATGTGCCACATCTTCTTTATCCATTCATCTGTTGATGGACACTTAGGTCGCTTCCATGTCCTGGCTATTGTAAACAGAGCTGCAATGAACGCTGTGGTACATGTCTCTTTTTGAATTATGGTTTTCTCAGGGTATATGCCCAGTAGTGGGATTGCTGGGTCATATGGTAGTTCTATTTTTAGATTTTTAAGGAAGCTCCATACTGTTCTCCGTAGTGGCTGTAACAAGTTACATTCCCACCAACAGCGCAAGAGGGTTCCCTTTTCTCCACACCCTCTCCAGCATTTACTGTTTGTAGATTTTTTGACGATGGCCATTCTGACTGATGTGAGGTGATACCTCATTGTAGTTTTGATTTGCATTTCTCTAATGATTAGCGATGTTGAGCATCCTTTCATGTGTTTGTTGGCAATCTGTTTATCTTCTTTGGAGAAATGTGTATTTAGGTCTTCTGCCCATTTTTGGATTGGGTTGTTTGTTTTTTTGATATTGAGCTGCCCAGTATTTTTAAAATAAGAAAGGAGAAGGGCAGTGTAACATGGTTTAGTATTGTTTATAATATTGTTAAAAAACAGGAAATGAAACAAATTTTTTCTAAGAATGCTGTATAACAGGATCTTACACAAGTATGTTGTAACGTTATCACTCTGATTTATCTTTATCACTATGGTTCGCTGAAAAGTGGCAGCAGAATTATCCACTCCCCTCCACTAAGACCTTTACTGTCAGTGCTTTCTGCCTTCCCCTATCCCCCACCCAATCTTTCATATCCAGAAGTTTCTCCTTTACTCTTCTCCAAGAGCTAGCTCATACCTGTCCTGCCCTTTCATACCCCCATGGAATGCAAGAATTACACTGGCACATCAGAGGGTTCACAGTGCAGTGCTCTGCACATAATGGAGCATCACTAGACATCTGCAGAGTGTTTTCTTCTCTATTATTACTCTGCCTCTGCCTAATTTGTAAGTGTCTTGAGGGCAGGGGCTACATTTATTTTACTTCCCACAAGGGCTTAATATGTATTTATTGAATTAATAAATGAATGGATACAATGTGAAATATTTTTTCTTACCCACTATGGTCTCCAGACAAAAATTCTGAAATAGCAGCAGGAAGCTCTGTTTTAATAATTAAAAGATAAGATGACATAGCTGCAAACAGAATAAAAAGAGTTCCTATTAGAATTCTATAATTTTTAACCATTTAAAGAACAATCTATCCAGAAATATGGATGTCCATTTGGGCTACAACAGCATGTGGAAGATTAATTTATACTGCACTATCCTCAAAGATAGATATATACCAGGAATGGAGATAAAAATGGAGATAAATAACTTTGTAGAGAAGAATAATTGGTAAGCTCATTAGGTATCTTTTGTTTACATTTCAAGTCCAAGGCAAATGATTTAGGTAAAAGAAAGCGTCTTGATTATAGGCCACTTATAAATGAAATTTTGCTTGAAGTTTGGCCAAAACTCTTAATGTTATTCTTCTGTCCAAGGCATTAGCAGTTAGTTTAGCAACATTTGATATAGACACAGGAGATAAATAAGTACAGCTAATAATTTTGATTATTTGTTCTTTCTTACTAGAGAGAGACCTCCCCCCAGAAATCTCACTTCCTCTCTCTCCTTTTCTCTGCCACTGTCCTCCCACACACATTTTGGACACGTTATTATAAAACAATAACAAAGTGCACAGTGAGTTACATTTTAAGTTGTCCTCTAAAACAGATGAGAAAAGATTCAATTGCAACTATTAAGCATATTAAATAGACAAAGCTTATAACTTTTATTCCATTTTATTAACAGGGCTCATCTGTATTATGCAATCAAAACCTGAAGCTAGCATTATTTCTCACATTCTATCAGACAGGATCCAAGAACTTTTATAGCATTTTAATAATGATCTTATTTCTGGTATAGCTATAAAAAACCCCCACATCTTATTAACCTTCCATCATACACTAGGAAATGTTTAATATGGTTACAGAATACAGAACTCATTTATATGTAAATACTTGAGTTTAAACTTAAATGCTTAAGTATATAGAAATCCAGATGATTTAGAGTCAGTTTAACAGAGTAATAATCTCTGTTTCCCCCAGAGATTAAGTATATATTAAAAAAGAGCCAACAAGAATATGTCCATGAAGAATAGAGTGTACTCTGTGTGCATGTTAATTTTATTACTTATTTATATTTCAGGAAACATTTCACTTTCTCCTTGGACCTACAAAAACTAAGAACACAAATGAATGCCAAGGCTGAATGGCAAAAATCTGGGGAAAAACTGATTAAAAGGCTCAAAGAGTTTAAGAAGAAGAATGTATGTTTCTCAATAAACATTTAAAAGTAGCTGAACTTCACAATTGTTACAGTGCTGTGTGACCACTCGATCCTGGGGGGAAAAAAAGCATATATACTAGTTTGTGTATAAATTTACATGAAGATAGGCAACGCTTACATATACAAACACATACACTCTCTTTTTTTTTTTTTGGTAAAACAACATGTACTTATGGCAAAGTAAAATTTAAAACAGTTAAGTAAATAGTCACTTCTCTGCTATGAAAATATACATATTCACATTTTCCAGTTTATGACTATTCCTTTTTCCCAGCAGAAGTACAGCTGTTGAAATAAAGCCTTTTCTTCAGCAGAAGTACAGTACATTTCTCCAAACTCTCTGTTAGTTATGGGACATTACAATTAATCATATGTGAAAAGGTATTCTAAGTTGTTCATATTCTCATAAGGAAAAATGCTACCAATTTGGTACAGAACAGAAGGAAGGTTTAGATTAACCTTCACCACTAAAGGATTTGGGGGTCTTTGTTTATAATACTTTATCTATTCCAAAGAATCATACACATATGGTGTGATGATGAAAATCATGAACTGAATATTCTGAAACTGGCCTAGAGCTACTTAAATATATCTTGCAAGGAAAAAAAAAAAAGTACTTGAAAACAAGGAATGCAGACTTCCTACACAATGTAATTTATTATCTGCCCATCAGTCTTTCTTGCTTGGATTAATCCAATACCACATGCCTTTCTAAAGTTTCAGACATTCATCTCTTTCAGTAATTTTCTATTATTTCTTTTAGATCTTTAGTTGTAAAAAGCTTCAATGAATATGAGATCATATTTCTTCCTAATATACAATCTGTCATTCTTCCCAGAATTTCTATTAGCCCCTGGCTAATCATTTGATCACTTTTATCTTCTGTTGTAGCCGTACTCTTTGGTTTTCAAATGGGAGTCCTATTTCATTAGATTCCAGTCTGAAGAATCATGTATATTTCAAGAAATATGAACTCACCAAACATATGTTTCTCTCTCAGAAAAAAAGATCTCAGCATATAAGATATAAATATAATAAAACATGTAAAATACTGCTTCTTAAAGAATGCTGGTGTTTGTTTTAAGAGCTACAAAACCACAGAGCTCATGATGGGGAAAAACTCCACTGATTAAGCAAGTAAAACAAAGAAAGACACTCTCCTTTTCACTGTCTAGATTATTTTTTCCTAACCACAAGAAAACTTTCATGCAAGGACTAGCACCTTAACATATTATATGTAGTACAGAGACAAACAAAAATTACTGAATATACATTAAGTTAGGAATATATCTTAGATTTACATAAAAAGAACAGTCAGCTCAATAAAATAAAGGGGAAAAGTTTTAAAGATATAAATTCAATAGGAATGCTCATATATCCATTGTTTTTAACCCAAAGGTTCACTAGCTCCAAAAGCTGCTTGCCAACACCTTTCATCTCATGTCTTCTATTAATAGCATAAGGAAGTGTTTAAGGACTTATCTTAGAGACAGGTCATAAGCAAGAACTTGTAAATGATTTTTGCTGACATCGATACATAGTATAGACTCCTAATACAAGACACACCATGTTGTCCTTTAAATTAATAGCTGTAACAGGGTCATCCACAAGAGCCATGGTTATAGCTAAGTGGTTCTGGCCTTCATACCACCAAAGCCAGAATTAGGGCTAGAAGACATACCTTGGTGACAGGTATTCAACCATTACAAATCATTTAGTTTCACCATATTAACTAAATAGGTATTCTTTTCTCCTTCATTTTAAACATAACAAATAGAACTCATTTAATAGAAACTGCCCTGGGAGGGAAATAAAAAAGCTGTCAACTTAATCGAAACACAGAAGTTGAAAGTATTCTTTAAAAGCCATGTGGAGAAGCAACTGTTCTAAGAAATGACTAAAATAGGGTAAAATCTGATTAGGCAATAGCAAGTAGTAAGGTATTAATATTGGTTGATCTAATCATAAAGAGAAACACATGAGCTGGGAGCATGGAGGCTGAGGGGAGAGATGTCAAAAACACAAAAGGGAAAAGTGCTCTGGAGGAGAAGAATGATAAGAACAGCAAACATTTGGGGGCTTAGTATGCCTATTCTAAGTGATTTGCAAGTTATTTCCTCATTTAAAGTTAAGTTTAAATTTATTTCCTCACCACGAACCTGTGAGGTAGATATTATTTATTTCACAGGTGAGGAAATGGAGGCCCAAAGAGGTAACTTGCCCAAGCTAGTGATGGTGGAAGCAGCCCATCTGGCTTGAGAAATCTGCACTATTAACTGTTACGTTATGAGAAAGTGCAGAGAAGCAAAGTGGCGAAGAAATCCACCACAGGAAAAAGAAATAAGAAAAGTCTATCAAAAGGACCACTCCCCAGCATTATTCTTTTTTCTTTTCATCACCATTTAAACAACAAATTGCTACCGAATGCTCAGTTTAGCAGTTGGGTTCAAAGAAAATAAAGAATTTCTACAACACAGAACATTAGTTAGAAGCGTTAAAAACACTTATAATGTTCATTTCACTTTGAGGTGTATTTTCATTTCAGTTTGTAGCTGGTTTGGTAAAGTGTTTAGTCAAGATTCCTCAGACAGGCTAAGGAGTTTCATGATAGGACTACTGCATTTACCACTATGATTCTATTGCATCTACAGCTATTACTGTAGTTTGGAAGAGAAAGTGTCCTGTTCTCACATATTTGAGATATTAACACTATACTGAAATTGAAAAAAATTAATACAAAAACCAATTCTTCTTCCCACAAACCCTGTACTCTCATAGGCTACTTTTCCCGGGACTCCCTTAAAAAAAAAAAAAAAAAAAAAAAAAAGACAAAGCTTCAATTGGAGTGTGGACCTAAGAAACCATTAATTTACAAAAATAATTATCCTTTTTGTTAAACACTTAAAAACACGTATGAAGATAAGATTATGTAGATCTATTTTTAAAACAGAATTAGGTTTTCAGCACTTGGAAGAAGTTCAGCAACTTCGTGAAGGATTAGTCAGCCAGCTCTAAACAGATGTACTATGGGAGGAAATAATAAGTTTGCCTTTCCTTCTAAGAGAGATTCAGTTTTACTTCAAACATGTTTTTAGTCATGGACAGCAACTGGTTTATTCTATTTAATGTGTCTTATTAACCTGGTGTTCCTACTAAATGTCCAAATGCCACTGAAATTATATCTCCATTCAAAATAATACACAACACAATCTCTCTCATTTTTAAAAAAGACTTTAAAAAACTCTGAAAACAAGGTCATTTCCCTAATTTGTGCACAAATGGAAATCAAAAATATATGGAGGAACTTTCCCCCCCATAACCCTTGGAAAATATATATCTTTGTTTTACTATTTATCAAGATCTTAAACTTGAATAAAAACTGACCAGAATATTTACTATTCTGAGAACCCTATAATTAAACTTCAATTAACAACTGTTACTAAGAAATACAATATTTTCAAAACCTCTTTAAAGTGACATGTAACCAGTAAATTTTGTCAAAGGAAGGACTTGTAAGAAATACTCCCCTTCCAAATTTCCTTTATTTCTCCTATTCTAAGACAGTGCTTTCTAGAATTTCTGGACAATACTATTCAGGCCTCAAAAAAGCCGCAGTTTGTCTACAGATGAGATGACCAGCAGATGGCGTTGTAACAGCACTCCCAATCCCTGTATCCCAGGAGATGGTACAAACCAGTAATTCTAAAAGACTTCAGTTACCTTACCCCCCAAAAAATACACACACACACACACACACACACACACATATATTTCAGTAAGAAAGTAAAGCCAAAGGGTTTCTA